TTAGGTCATTTCTCGATTTATGCGTGTCATCCTTGCACATGGGCTGTGCTAATCTTCTCTGTATCATTCCAATTTTAATGGAGTCTCCTGTGTGTGGTTCCAATTTAACGGATGGATTTTTTTTTATTTATTTGTTACACTATTTTTGTAGACAATTTATAATATAAGGCGATATGGCCAAGCGGTAAGGCAAGGGATTGCAAATCCTTTATCCCCAGTTCGGATCTGGGTGTGGCCTAAATCTTGAATATCAACAATATAATTTTATTCAAAAAACTAATTTATTTATTATGTATTTCTTATTAAGAATCAATACATTGTATGTTAACGGGACATCCGTTAAACAACTTAAATTGGAACCATACACCTGTTAAAATTGGAACGATACAGAGAAGATTACATGGAGCAATGTCTTTATAAAAGCCGGGAACCGGGCCTGGCGTCCCTTACAAAATTAGGTGGGTCCCTCAGTGGGCAAGGCATCACCGGCCAAGCACATAGAGGGCACCACTAGATTTGACCCCTCAGCCAACTCCACAGCCCCAACAACTCAAAAAGTCAACGAAAATTATCAGCTGCTGCAGAATCTGCTATTGGGCTCGCTATTCTTGTTATTACTTTTCGAATTCGTGGCACTATTGAAATCTACCCAAACCAAGATCTAAGTTATCCCGAAGAAACGAAAAACAAAAAAAGTCACAACAATTCCAACCTATACCTTTCATGAATACCTAGTTAACAAAAACTATCGCAAAATTTTCACCTCTACACCTTAGTATAGGGCCTATAGGCTTATAGATTACAAACTTCCTTCTATACAGAGACTTTTCAGTTCCTAATCTAAATTAGGAAAATCAGTGTGGTCAAACTTAGATGAGCAGAAGCGAAGACCTTCGAGGACGGTAGGCTCGATGGGGAGGAAGCATCAAGCCCGACATCTCGGATGATGCCCAGTGACCAGACAATGTGAAAAAACTTCAGAAAGCCATCAAACCGAGGGAAAGCAGCTGCCGTGTGCCGACGAGAGAAATTCTAATCACAACAGTCGTGACAACCCTAATTAGGTGACCCAATTTTCACCGACCATGAAGACAGCTTCAACCAACCCTAATTCCGCGAACCGCCAGCAATTATCGGGATCCACCAATGAAATCGAAGGATGAAGTACAATGGACAAAAAGACTGGAACCAATAAGAAATGGCATGGCCCCTGCGGAAAGATGACACACATAAATCGAGAAATGGTCCAAATTAAAAAAAGAAAAAAAGAAAAAAAAGAAAATTGTATTTAAGAGGTACCCCTTTGAACCCCTTGACAACCTGTTTAAACTTTAAACTTTAAATCCAATTTATAGCCCCCTTCCTTCTCTTCCCTTTGGCAGCCAACGCTCAAAAAAAGAAAAGAGCCCGGAATTGGGTTCCTCTGGTAATATGCAGGAACCCCCCAACGCTCAAAAAAACAAATAAGAAAATTTGACGCAGATATTCCCACGTCGGGGTACCGTGGGCATCAGACCCCCTGGCCGACATGCCGGGCATGAAAAACCACCTCGCTTTCAATTGCTGTTTTCTGTGTGATACAAATGTTGCTCATGCTCGCTGAGTCGAAAGCTCGGTGAACACACTGTTTTCATCTGTCAGAAGACTCAGAACTGTCTGAACCCCATCTATGACATACAGAGGGCCTCGCCACACCACTGTCGAAACGAGAAAAGTACGACTGCATGTTCCCGCAATTAATGGCCAGATGCATCCATTACCATGAATGGTAACAGATGCATCTGATCACTTTCCGGGGAAGATGCACTCATACTTTTCTCGTTTCGACAGTGGTGTGGCGAGGCCCAGAGTCTCTTTGCAACAAGTTACAAGGAGACATCATTGACACATCGCTGAGGAGTCACTGCTAACGTTGGGCATCGCCACACCACTCTTGAAATGCACAAAATGAGAATGGACTTCCTGCTAAAACATGGCCAGATGCAGCCGCCACGTTTTTGTCTTTTTCACATTTCGAGAGTGGTGTGGCCTGGCCCATCGTTTATATCCAACAGGAGGTGAACAGCCATGCCACCTGGCAGGTGGTACATGACATGTCTCTGTTCTCTTCCAGCACCGCGTTGCTTTCAATTTCTCTATCTCTACACTCTTAAAGGGAATCGCGGGTCTCGCGTAACGCTCCCACGCAGACCCGCCTTCCAGTGTTGGGAAAGCTGCCGGGACAAGGGGCGGGCCCAGCGAAACGAAGAGTTGCTGCCGTTTGCGACTCACCGGGCGCATGTTCGAATACAAGTACATAGCGCCGCGACGTGCAAAGCAGCTTTTTCTTTTGGCCAGTAAATTCTTCGTGTTTTTTTTTTCTTTTTTTCTTTTCAGTAGATTAGATTCTTCCTTTTTGTCTTTTTTGGAGAAGGGCCGGACGAAAGGGCCTCGCTGCGCTTCTCTCCACATGCACAAAAGACAAAAAAGATGGCAATGTATCTCTCCATGTTCTAGTGGTAGATTCAGCCTCATTTTGCACATTTGGAGAGCGGTGCAGCAAAGGCCCAGGGGAAATTTCTTTTGGACTTTGGGCGTGGCTGCACTACTCTCCACATGCACAGAAGACAAAAAAGATGGGAATGTATCTTTCCATGTTCTAGCGGTGCATCCAGTCTCATTTTGCACATTTGAAGAGTACTGCAGCCAGGTCTGCTGCCCGTTTGGTGAGCAGTGGAGAAGGCCTCGCTTCACAACTCACCACGTGCACAAACGACAAAACAATGGAATGGTCGTTTTTTTTCTCAGCAGCTTTTTTTTTGCTGTTTTTGAACTTTTTTTCCCTGGTGAGTAGTGGAGCTAGGGCAAAAAGGGCAAAATCCAAGCACATACACACAAGAGTATGATGCACAAAGTCACGAACAAAACCCGCGATGCGGGATGTCTGAACGGAAGTATTAACATCATGTCCGTCAGGCATCCCTTCGCCCTTCTTCAGTCCACAACGCCCAGGAACCACCAAACTATCCATCAAACCGAAATAGCGGCGGTCATCTTTAGTTAACGCAAGGCGCGAACTAAAGAGGACTGCCTGACGCAGGTTGAAGAGGGAAGTGACAATGATTGAAAATGTTATATACCTACAATTACTACAAAGGCAAGACGAGCTAGGGACTACCTAGAAAAGCATCGCAAAAGATCAGCGGTCAGATTCCAAACTGGACCGCGCTTGCCAGCAAAGTTTTCAAGTACTTTGAGGAACAAGTCTATCGGGAAGCCCTTCGACTGATAGACTAACTTAAGGAGCACGACTTGAACCGGTATCTTTTCGTGAATCGGAAGTATTTTTATCAATTCGGTTCAGCCAACCCGAAATGGCTGCAGCTTTCTGTCTACGGTTGGACCAGGACTCAAAATCTTGGCCAGATCTGATGGCCAGCTCTGCACCAAGTAAAAAGGCCTCTTCATGTCGTACCCTCTGAAAACTGCCCACAAAAGGTAACGCTCGCGAATCTCCAGGGCGCAGCCCAAAAATTCCCAAAGTAGTGGAGCTAGGTCTGATCTGGCAGTGTTCTTAGGGCCTCGCTCGACTAGTACGACTACTCAGCAGGTGACGACCTCGAGATATCATCACCGAGCTGACCGGCCCCAGGCAATTCAGTAGTAATTGGTCTTACTCATGAAGTTCCATCACCTAGATTCGAGCACAGGTCTGACGTCTGCATGTCAACAGTTCGTGGGTGTACCCACCGAGCTACCTTCTTCCCCCAAATACAACGTACGGTCATTATAGTTGTATTTGAGCCATCTTTCAGTCTAGATACAGGTATAATGACCGTACGTTGTATTCGGGGGAAGAAGGTAGGCTCTTGGGTAGTGGACTGGTCTTTTTTGTGGTGATGTGACGGCACCGCCAGCTGATCGCTGTGTTAGTCACATGTTCGAATACAAGTACATGGCATACCCGATTTCAGTCAGATACCTTCCAATGCCTTTCTTTTGTTTTGTTCCCCCCCCCCCTTCCTCCGATGCTGCGGCTGGGATGGGCTGTGCGGTTCTTTGCTGGGACCCTGCGTTCGCTGCCCCCTCATGCTCCCCACCGCATGTGCGGCGGGCATCCCCTTGTTCTTTTAAAATCTCAGTTGGTACACCCAATGAACTGTTGAAATACAGACCCGAATTTGAATCCAGATGTAATCAGATGAGCAGAATAAAATCATTCTGAATTGCCTGGGGCCAGTCAGTTCAACAATGATATCTAGGGCCCTGGTGGGGAGCTGATGCCCTCTGCTGGGCCCAGGTCCAGTGCCTATCTATCGCCTTTTCTTGAATAAGAGGATCAGGGGAAAATTAATAAAATCAGATTCTCCGTTCCATTGGTGGGGAGCTGATCTTATGGCCCGCGAAAGACAAACTGTTAACTGACCCCCCCCAGCCCCAAATCCCACCGTTTTTCAGGCCAATTTATAAGAAAACCACAAACTATTTGTGACCCGGAGTCCTTTAAAGTTTAAAATCTCCGTTTAGGGGCCAATGAAATTCTCCTCTGCCCAAAAAAAAAAAAAAAAAAAAAAAAAAAAAGAAAAACCACCTTTTCTGCGAACTGTTACCTGAGGATCATTGCCCTCATGTCTTCTGTGCCAGGAATTGAGGACCAAGATGGAATCCAAAGTAAAGTTAGTAAACGCCTTCCAAGGGGAGAAGAAAGTGGGAGAAGTGTAAGGGGGAGAACAAAGCGGACATTGCAGCACATCTTTTTTGAAAAGGGTGATGGCCTTGAGGTATCGTCATGAAACTGACCGGCCCCAAGTAATTCAGATTCAAACTCAGGTCTGTGTTTCGACTTTCGACAGCTCTTGGGTGTACTAACTGACTCAAGAAAAACTGAGCTAGGCCCGTTGGTACGTCAGAGTACATCAGTCGACCCTCGAGATTTGTTCGGTGGCTTCTGTAACAGGGGAGTCAAAGTGTAAGAAGGTGTGGCCACGTCAGAAAACTCTGACAGTGAAGAAACTGTGCAGTGGGAATGGCGAGCCACTCAGATGTGCAGTCGGTGCTTACTGAGGAGGAGACAAGGGACGGTGGAGGTACAAGCTCTGATATGGAGGACGGAACTAACAGTTCTGCGAAACCTTGTCGAAAGGAAGGTGAAGATTCCGAAGCTGCGGGAACGACCTGGATAGAAGCAGTCAGAGGTGAAGAGGACACATCACGGACATATGATGTTTCCGCGAGGGGATATAATGACGACGATGATGACGATGATGAACATGGTACGTTGTCAAGCAATCCATCATTTTGTCTCAGCGAGTCGGGCAAGGGTAGTGAACTGCCTCCTCCGCCACGTACGGGTACCCAAGATAGTGCCGGTGAATCGGTTGATTCCTCTCATTGTGTTCTGATTGACCAAGGGTGGTTGGATCTTGGCCTGGATGATGCTCTACTTCTGCGAGCACCTGTGAATATTAGCAGACTCAAGGAGATTGCAGATTCGAGTGAGAGTCCGTTTTGGCCCCAAACTCCACCTGCAACTGATCCACAGACTGAAGGGCTTTTGGGTAGGGATCCCTGTCAACAATTGGAAGTTGAACATCAACGAGGAAAGGTAAAGCTGGCGGAGGACGAAGAGGAGGAGGAGGAGGGTGGGGAGGAGCTTATTGGAACCGAGTCAAGGAAGAGAGCAGTCGATGCCAGAGAAGCGGTGAGACATCTTCTGCAACTTAGACCCTCTCCATCGTCTTATGATGATGGAAACGATGGTGATGATGATAAGGATAGTGATGGTGACGGTGTTAGAATTACTGACCGCATTGGTCAGTCGGGCATGGATACTTCTAATAGGTCTCAGGACTCCGCCGATGTCACCAGGAGAGCAACGCAGCTTAACTTGCCATCTGACACTTTCTCACTCCAGGACGTCAGAACGGATCGTCTTTCTATCCCTGACATGCCTGTTGATCATGTCAGACTGACAGACAACCGAGAAAAGGCGGAGCAGTTAGTCAAGCAGGGCAGAGGCACCAAGCACAGCATTCCCAGACTGAACTTGGATGGTCTCCTCATGTCTATTGGTCGTCGGGCCCAGCAAGGAACCACCACTCGAGAGCAAGTGACACTAAGAGGGGGAGCTTCCCGTGTACGCGTGCGTGTGCGTGGGGCGCTGCGTGCATCTGGCAGGATGGACTGTAGAACTGGCAGATTGAAAGGGAGGCCCCAGTCAAGTAGTGGTGGGGACCACAACACCAGTGCTGCCAGGAGGGAAGTTGCCCCCCCAGCGCGTGTGCCTAGGGCCAGGGAGGCCAGGATGCCAAACGTGGAAGGAAGAGCTGTATCTCTCTCACTGATTGGTGACTACAATCCGAAGGCCAGGGATATGGAGGAGCAAAAGGGAATGTATAAGGATGGAGATAATCCCAGGTCAGTAGTTGAGGAGGTACTAGAACACATGGCAACAGCAGCCGAGAAATATGCCGAGAGGGGGAGAAGAGGGAGTCAGCCCCCAGTGCGTGATGATGACTGCGAAGGAGTTCTGCCCATTCGATGTGGAGGGGACGTCGATGAAATCTTCCCGTCAAAAAAAAAAGTTACCGAAGGAGATTTTTTGTCACCTACACAGGTGGTACATGTGCGAACGTCTGAAGGCCCGAAATATGATCAGGATCTTGTGAGGGTGAAAGCCTCTTTAGGTTCGGCTCAGGAGCTGGTCCACACTGTTTCCACTCCCGGTCAACTTCCAGTTGGTAGTATGTGCCAGCATGAGAATAAGGATGAGGATAAGTACAAAAATGAGGATGTTTATGACAGCACGAATGTTGTGCGCTTAACAGTTGACGAGGCCATCTCAGACTTAGCGCAAGAAATCGGAAAGAGTAACCGCGAGAGCCAAGTCTCGCTGCATGACCGACGCAGCTCGATTCTGCCTGTTCGCGGTGGAGGAAGACGGGGCACTTTGTCAAAAAAGAGACGCATGGAAAGGGACCCGTCCTCACCCCGAGGGCGTCCTTGGATGTCTGGTTCCAGCGGGATTCGAACTCCGGCCCGGAGTCTCTCGGGTTCTGTCGACGACCTTGTGAAAAAGTACCCAGCACAAGTTCAGAGGCCATTGAGGCAGTTGACAGACATGCGTGGAGGTTATGCGAAAAGCTTGGATCGTCCAGTTAAGGCATATCATGATGGAAATGAGGCAGAAATGCCATCCAAATGGTATGATCTGGAGGATTCCTCCATGGGGCAAGACTTTCTCATATCGGCGGCAGCATCTGGGGCGAAAATACCGGCCATGGAGTTTACTTCCCCGTTGATGAGAGATCACACTGGCATAAGTATCTCCTCTACTATCATCGGAAAAGACGCCAAGGTATCGGATCAAGTTTCTGGAATTCAAGAGAACCGGAAATATCAAATGAGAGATGCAGACTTCATCGTGTCACAAAGGCAACCAAGAAGCGACCTGCAACTGTCCGACTCTCGTGCTCTGGAGTCGATTCCCCAAGCAACCATCACTGAGTATACCCAGACCTTGAAGGACAGCAAGAGCTCTGATCACACCGTAAGTGCGTCTCTGGCGGCGCGGGATATTGGGAATCAGCAAGGTAGTCTTGATGCCGATGTTGATGAGAATCGACGACTTGGAAAAGGTCCCTTCTTGAATGTGAAAGAAGCTCAGCGACCTGTGAGAGAAGGTGTTCTTAGACCTGTTGCAGATGTGACTGGGAACCGGATATTTTATGACAGTGGAGAAATGGCCCGTGAAGGAAATGACCAGGTATGGCCCGTTGTAAACTGTTTCTGTGGCATGTATCTGCAAAGACCCTTCACTGCTCATACAGGCCTATAGCACCTCAATACATAGCACAGCATTCATGCAACTCACAGTGATGAAGCTTGAGGATAGACAAAGAAAAGAGATGCTTTAAAGTAGAAGAATGAAATCCTTCCCTACACTACTAAAATCACTAGCATCACAAATCTGAAATCTGGGCCGTCGCGGTCCTACCGGCCCACAGCCCGGATCGTCAGAAGATTATAACAAATCTAAAATCTGGGCCATCGCAGTCCTACCGGAGTGACGGCCCAGATCGTCTATATAATGTAACAAATCTGCGATCTGGGCCGTCGGGTCCTACCGGACCGACGGCCTGGATCGACGCGGTCCTAAGATCATAAGACCGCGTCCAAGTGCAGGCCGTCGGTACAGTAGGGCCCAAAACCCCAGATCCCACTGCAGCTTTCCCAGTTTCAACGGGTTAAGTTCGAAATGTGGCGCGACGCTGTTTTCCCGTTTAAAGTCTTGCAGGCCAATGGCGTCTGCTGTCGTTTAGTGCAGTGGGTGCAGCGCCGTTGTTCTGTTTCGAAAGCGCCCGCCGTCGTTGTCCTGAAGCACTCTCTCTCTCTCTCTCTCTCTCTCTCTCTCTCTCTCTCTCTCTCTCTCTCTCTCTCTCTCTCTCTCTCTCTCTCTCTCTC